CATCGACGATCGCTCAATGCCGTAAATTAAGTTGGCAATTTCTCGTTTCTGTTTGTCGGTGAAATCTGTGGCTCGGACAAAAGAAAACTCCTGCCGGTGGAAAGCGGTTTCCCTGCGGAATGAATGAATGGGGCATGGGGTCAGTGGTTGAGTGGCAAGAGTGAGTGCTGCCATCGAAAGGGGGTTGCTGATTGACCTCGACCCTCCCGCAGAAGGACAACTGGGGAGGGGCCTGCCCGGGGAATCGGAGTTCCAATCTCTAACTATTTCTATTCCTAGTTTACCTTTCGTCTGCGCGGTTGAAGTGGCTTTTGTTGCTCCATGCTGGATCCACACGCACAATCCACGGTCAGATCCCCTGGAGAACTGTAACCACAACTGGGACGACAGCACGTCTGTGTCCCCACGAAATTTGGGCCGAATCTTATCTCCAAGGCAGTGCCAAAAAATACGATCCCCATTTATTTGCTTTCCTCTGACACTGACAATGATATGGCGATCGTGAGAGATATAAAGATACATTCTAAAGATACTGAAAGATAAAGAGGGAGAGAAAAGAACCCGGCAGCACCAGCAGATACGAAAATGTATCTTCTGGATGTGGCCTAGCACTTTCACTGCCACAAACTACACATATGTATCTTACATCTCCATTTGGTTAGGTCTAGAGATGGGAGATGTATCTGTTGGAAATGTATCTATAAGGAAATGATTCCATAGAAATGTATTTATTTTGTATCCAATAGATATAGGATATATCTCTTGGTAATATGTATAAAGTAACTATTCAAATTATTTATTTAACATTTCTCTATTGAAAATGTATCTTTTAATAATTTGTTGATTGGATGGAAATATATCTATTAGAAATGTATCTATTGAAAATATATCTATAAGAAATGTAGTTCATTATTAGAAATCTATCTATTGGAAATGTATTTAATGGAAACGTATCTATTTCTATGGAAGTTTATCTATTGGAAATCTATCTAAATCTTTCTGTCGAAATGTCTGCAGATGTAGCTTTGCAGATCTCTCGAGGGTCAACATCTGGTGGGTGGCCCATCTGGTCCATGTCCGGCATAAATTTCAATCTCTATCTCTTGCACGCTTTTCGCTCTTTTCGGCGTAGGTGGCCGCAAATGTATCGCATTACATGCACAAGATACTTTTGTATCTTTTTGGCTGTAGTTTTTTCGCGGATTAAGTAAGGCTCCAGTCAGAGCCGGAGTCTCTCTCCAGCGTCGTCGCGGAGCTGGGATTGGGATTGGAATTGGAATTGGAGGAGACTTCACATGCAAATCAAAAATACAGGAAATTATTACAACTTTTTACAAGCACCTCTCCCCCCACTCACGCCGTACACCGGCTCCCCTTCGGTTCGAGTCATTTTTTTGGTCATGTGCCTGGGTTTCGCTTTGCTTTTTTCGATTCATTAGCATTACATGGCTTCCGTATTTGGTTATGGCCTGACTCCCCGATGGAGCGCGGGCTCCAAAAACCATACCACAGATACATAGATAGATTATTTATGTATGTTTTGCATAGGGTTCGAACCGTTCGTCGAAAAGTGGAAAATGGGTCAGAGATTCCGCATAAAAGGAATGCTCGCCCCACCATCGTTTACAGCTATTTCAGCGTTTCAGGTTCAAAGTCTGCTTTGGGGATCGCAGATACATATACTCTAGCAGGGAAGTGCCTGCTGCTCTCTTTGATGTGGTTTTCGGGGCTGCCTTGGCGGTTATCCGATCTCCAGTTACATTTAACGTGTGGATTACGATCGAAATGGCGCATCACAGAGTCGCCGTAGCCCCGGTTTGGCGTCTGTTAGGTGCGAAATTCTTGTGCAAATGCGATAATTTGTCCATCAATCAGTTGCTTGGTGGCACACATTCCAGATGCCGGTCGCTGTTGAAAAGCTGAAAAGCTGAAAAGCCATCCAAAATGCTCTTGAGAATCAAGTCTGTGTGTCTGCCAATGTCAGGCCTAGAATCCGCCAACGGCTTACGTCATAAATAAAGTGGAGCCAATCGCCGGAGGAGCATAAAAACCAGACACCAGACCCCTCCACAGACCCACAGACGGAGGCCACCAGCGATCGGCGGATGGCGGATGGCGAGCGGCGGACGGCGAGCGGCGAACCAGTTCCACATTAAAAAAAAACTGCACTTTGAGATCAAGTTTGCAGCAGGAGAGGCTGCAACTGCAACTGCCACTGCAACTGTGTGGCTGCTGCGGCAGATGCCTTATGCAACCTGTGGCACATATGCAAAGTGCTGCCGCCCGGAGAGAGTCGGCTTAGCCCCCAAATTCTAGTACAGATTGCGGTAGTTGACGTCACAGCGGGGCGGCTCGCTTGGAGGCCAACGGCAGTTGCCGTTAGGTGCCATTGAGGAGCAGTCCGCTCCTGGTGCTCCACTCGCTCTGTGCTGGGTTGTCGTTTGAAGGTTGCTTTGGCTTTGCCCAGAGTGCAATTCCATGTTGGAGCCGCCCCTTGAGGGACGCGGCAGGCCCGCAGAATGTCAGCAAAGCCAGGAAGTGATTGCTGGACAAAGCGAAGCTGGAGCAGGTGGAGCAGGTGGAGCGTGGGCCTCGAGAAGGGGGGCCCACAAGTACACACATATGTAGACAGACAAACAGAGGGACAAGTTATAGGAAAAGGTGATCTAGCATATTATGACATTTCGCCTCCGTCGAGAAAAAGCGAGCAGCAAAAGGTGTGTTGTTTCAGTGTTTCAGGTTTGCAATCACAAGTGATTTATTCGATAAGTACTCATCCGATCTTTCTTTGCGGCAATTACACGATGTAATGGGATTACATCAATGCAATGATTATAAATGTGTGACATTTAATCGAATTATGTCGATAATAATTCATCAAATGAATGGAATCAGTGGAAACGTTTAGGTCGATGGCTTCGGTGGTTAGCAGTATCAAGAGTTATCGCAAAGAATCGATAACATTCGAAAAATGTTTGCATTTGATCGATACAGTTATGGATGGCAGGTTGTTCCCAAAGATTCTTATTCCCAAAATGTATCGATAACAATCGATGAATGTGAAATAGATGCATAATCATTTAATGCTGATTGTTGTTTGGCCGATACGCAGATTCGATCGGTTGATCGATACAAGTTTATCAAAACAATCGATAATTATTAAATCGAAAACCAACATTTAATCGAATTATTGATATTTGGTTTGCCAAAAATGATTATCGATCTGTCGATAGTAGTTGGTGGTCAGTCGAGAAATGGCCAATCGATAAATCATTTCATTAGAAAGCGTATTGCATCAAAAGTTGCAAATTGCAATCCCCTTGCCTCACACAGAAAGGGGCAATCACGACTCGTTAACGGAACGCACAGACACACGAGTGGAAAGGGGAGTGGGGCAAGGAGGTGCAGGGTGGTGCAGGGTGGTGCAGGGTGGCGGGTGGCAGCAATTACTCAACTATCTATTGGCGATGCACTAGCCAAACCCAAGCACCTCCTCACACCACAGCCCCACTTTTACCGCCTCATCAGCATTTCTACAATCGAAAGAAAAAAACCAAAAATCAAAAAAAATTATTACTAATTAATTATTGTTGCACAAATGCTCGACGCTTTGCTGCACTCCAAGCCGCTCCCCGCCACTGTCCGCTCTACTCCTCTGCCTCTGCAGCAAATGTGCTGCATGGAGAGCGGGCGGGCGGGCGGACGGATGGGCTCTGAGCAGGCACTTGTTTGTTATGCGGTGCGCGGCATTTCGTCAGCCCCGTCGTTCAATTGGGGGGCCACTCATAGGGGCACACACTCAATCAAGGGAGGGAGAGCAGGCGAGAGGATGGAGGATGGAGAGCATTGGGCACTTAATTTCGTTTGAGCCGCATTTCACTTTCCATTTCTCCACAATCAAAATGCGTCGAGTACTTGCCGCCTGAAAGACTGGGGATACCGCGACGCGGTGATTGGAAGGCGCAAAAATTTCAATTTCATTTTATTTATGAGCAGGCAGGCGACACTTTTGAATGCAAATGACGGCTAAATTGTGCTGGCCAAGCCAGAGACCGCTCTCTTTCTCGCTTTCATGTACACACCATTGTGGACCCTGTCCAACTGTTTTTCGTTGGCGAAATGCAGCCTTAAATATGACAGAAGCCAAGGGATAGCCACCCATCATTGAGTGAAAGAATACCTTCCTCGCAAGCCTCTTCCAACCTCAGGGAAAACCCCTCACAAATAGAGTTTTCCTGATTTTAAGTCGCTAAAAATTCGAATTTAGTTTTAATGGAGTTTTAGCCCCGATTCTAATGGGAGCAAAAAGGTGTTAACCTTAACTCAAAACAGCGGTGGGCACGCACTTGCACCCAACTGAATTTTTGTTGAGCGAAGAGTTCCAAAGAAAAGCCCGAAAGTGCAAAGACAAAATACACTCGAGTTTCGCCGATATTGCTCCCAATTTGGATCATGATAATAGTTGTGGTGTATCTAAAGGTACTCCTGCTTTCAATTTCCTATGTATGTATATAAAAATCTATAAAAAGTTAAAGAACGTTTAGAATCTAGAGAAGAATCTTCCGTGCCGAACAGCATAGATAATGAAAACTGGAGATACAATTCTTCTGAATCCTGAATCTAAGGATCTAATTCTGAGGATATTTCGGTATAAATTAAAAACTATTTTATTATTATTATATTATATTCTAATCTAAGAATATTAAGAGAACATAATTTCCATTCAATTGATAACACAAGAAGAAGAACTTTAGAAGATACATAGATACTATTGCCATCTGCCATCTGCCATATATTCTATCAAAAATAAATTAGAATTTCAAAAAGAGATAAATTGAAGTCAGGCGATAAGATCTGAAGATCTTATGGTTCCCATGGCGGAAAACCCTATTCCATTTTGGAAATTGGAAACTCCATTCCGAGGCCGCGCCGTGTATAATCCCATGAAGTAGATCGCGAGACCCAGAGACCGAGATCTCTTTTTTGCGGCCACCACTCACCGTGTTGATCTTCTCCATGAAGACGCTCATTTGGTTTTTGGCAGACATTCTGCTTAAGAATTCTTCCGGTCTCCCCTTCGAAGAAGTGTCAGACTCAGGCACTGCCTGTCGGCAAAGGCACACACATCACGCACAACACAACACAACACAACACTAATCGCGGGATTCTTTCAACGAGAAACAAATAAAAAAAAACAATGCATTAATGTGGAGAATGTGGCTCGGCGCTACTTTTCACAGTTCTCTATGGAAAATCACGCGCGCGATTTCGCTTGGGTTTTTGTGAGTATTTTCGATTTCGGTGTTTGGTTTTTGAATCTATATTTTTTCACCACGAAAGCACCGTATTCGCATGCGTTCTTATCGACGGCTGGCAACGCATTGAACGCTCAAGACGTGTCCAAGGCAGCGGCAAGCTCCAGACCAGAGCTTGGGCCAACAAGCCAGAGACAACCGACGACAACCGACAAGCAACGCCGACGTCGTCGTGAGCCGAAGAAGTTGGCCAAGACAATGTTGCAGCGACAGGTGCCCGCTGCACAGAGAGAGCGAGAAACCGGCTCGGAGGTGTGCCTAATACTTGAGACGCCACTGTGCCGAGTGCCCCAGTCCCCACACGCTCCACTGTGCGCCTCTCGCCTTGGGGCTCTGGCAGATTGGGGCCGTTTAGTGGGTGGTTTGTGCTTGTCGGGTGGAAATGCGCGCATTCCATGTGGACTTATGGCGAAAAACAAGGGCAGGCCCAGGCCCCGGCCCAGGCCCACTGCTCTGACACTCGCTCACTCGATGCTAAACGAAAAGCTGATTGCCATGACAGTTCAGAGTTGAGGGGAAGTTTCCCAAAGTACCGCTATCCTCCTTCTTTACTTCCCGCATCCATGAACTCTTTTTGGGCAATTTTCAAGGAATTTTGAGTAGAAAACTAACACGGGAATAATCGAGGGTGATGGTATCGAAACAAATTTCAAAGATGTGTCGATAACATATCGATATTTTGGAGATCACTTATCGATCAACTTGTCAATAAATAGAGACATACTGGGGGATCGAAGACATGTGTATTTTCACGCCACGCGTCACGAATTTATCGATAAACGGTCTAATCGATAACGTATCGATGATTAAAAAGTGCCAAGCTCGCAAAACGACTCTAACAATCGATTGAACGATTCAATCGGGCCAATAAACAAATCAGCAATAACGCACACAAGAAATAATCGATCGGCTTAATTAGCTCTGGCAATTCCACAACAAACAAGTGCCATGCCGCCCCACAGTGAACATTGCAATATTTATATACAATAGATAAATAGTACATGTATCTGCGATATACGTACAAACACATACATACATATGTGTGCGATATTTGTAGCTTTGGCAACGAAGTCAAAGTCAAAATCCATTTAAGGTCGTCACAAATAAAGTTTTTCGTTTGCTTTTCGTTCTTTTTTGTGCCGTTTTTTCGCTGGTGTCATGCAGAAAAGCGAAATATCATGGCTAAAAACCCTCCGGCCATCCTCCCCCCCTTTGGGGTTTCTTTTTATGTAACGGTCCTTGTTAAGAGTCAATGCTGTCGGCCGCTTCTCCTCCTCGTCATTGGCCAAAAAATACTGTCCGTCATTCAATTAGGCGCTCGATGACAGATTCGTTCGTTGTTGCTGCTTTGTTCTCCAGCGGTTCTTCATTAGAGCTGCGAAGATCGCCGACACCCTGTTTACTCGGAGAAGCTGGACATGCCGAGCTGAGGCAGTAGAAGGGGAAGTCGCTTGGGTACTTGTTGAACGCTATGCCATGCATATCCCATCCATCTAAGACTGAGTCAGAAGAGTAGCGGACTGAAAAGGCAGCAAAAGGATCCCAGAATTTCCCTTTATTTGCAACATATCCTAAAATGGGGAAGAGTGGTGTTCCCCTAGTCGGAATACTTCTTGTTAGTTCGTGCACCATTTGGTGGCACATGGTGGCCCGTTACACTGGCCAGTCGGTACTCGGCAATCGTTGATTTAGGGCCTATGCTTGATCCGCCAAATGTCGCTTGGCCAACGAACTCCGTCTCCCTCTCCACAGGCCCACGCAGGGTTTTACTCCGTTTTACTCCGTTTTACTCCCTTGTTTCACTCACCTTTGGGCTGGGATATTCGTTGTCTCCGGCTCAGGGCTTGGTCTTTGGCTGCAAGAGGGAAGGAGAGACGATACAGATTTAGTTTAGAGGTGCATTCCCCCTCACTCGGGGGCACTGATTAATGCAATCTTCTCGTTAATTTCCCATTTTCCAATTACAAAATTTCCATTTCCAAAGGAAAGGGTGATTTTTGTTGTTGTTGTTGTTTGTTTGTGCCAACTCATCAGCCGCGAGCGAAAGCCAAACGCCAGACAAGACATAATTTCCCATTAGCAGGTTTTTAATGGATGAATTATGGATTATGGCGGATGGCGGATGGCGATGGGAAAACGTGTGGCGGCGTGGAAGAGGAGTGGCAGAGGAGTAGCCTCGCTCTCGGAGAACACCCCATTTAATTTCCCTGGAAACTCCGCGCCTAATCAGATTTCTATGCTGTCTGCCACTTGCCACTAGCCACTAGCCACTCCCTTTCCATCTATCCATCTTTCCATCCGCTAATCAGACGATGCACTCAGCCCATCCTCCTCTTGAATCTTAGATCTTTTGAAATTTGATTTATGCCTCCCTCTGGGCCGGCACTTCACTTGGGATTCCACACGAAAAACCAACTAAAAATTGCTCCATAAAAGCAGCTGAAAGTGAAACTTTTTGTCCACTGATTTCTGTTTCTTGTTTCTGTTTTCTTTTGCATTTCAATTTTTGTTGTCTCTTGTTTTCAATTTCACTAGAAAGCACAAACACTCCTCCCCCCTCCCTCCCTACCTCCCTCCCTCACGAAATTCTCAAAGGGAAGAAATCGGTAGCGGCGGCACCTGATCCGCATGAGAAACAGAATGCGTGGAGGCCTGTTCCTGCCAGAAGAGAGAGGCACGCCCCATCGCCTGACGAGTGGTCACGAGGGAGGGAGAAAGGAACAGTGCCAGAGAAGACAGAAAGATGCATATGAACTTCTGGTCTCAAGCTTCGCCAATCCCAGAGATATCTCCCGAAACTATGCCTCAGACACAAACAAATAACTCGAGCAACAAACTTTTTGCCCGCAAAAAAAGGTATCGATTTCTATCGTTATCGATAACATTTGACAGCAGTAAAAACAAAAATGGAATGCTTGGAAAATTAAGCCAAAAACCGATGGCACAATTTACCGATAACTAATTCGCTAAGATATCGATAGCTAAATATCTCTCTCGACTATTTTTGTAACTAATTTGAATGGCAATCGATATCGATAGTATCCTATCGATAATTTTACTTTTTTTACTTGCTTTATCGATTAACCATTTTTGTGTAGCTTTTAGATCTTCCAACAGTTGGCCTTTTGGACCTTTTCCGGCCTATGAGTAGCGGCCTTTTTTCGCCAAAAGCGGATGAATAGAAACAGAAAGAGAGAGAGAGAGAGAGAGAGAGAGGGAAAGAAGTCTGACACATTGATATGCGGACATTCGTACATTCGGGCACTCCGGGGCGGGCATTAACATACGATGCGATGTGTCTTATGTGCCGTGTGCTTGCCTCAATTAGCGATTCCGCTCAGCTAATATCGGTTTCACCCACCAAAATAAGGGGCGGGTGTACTGAGAGACCGTCGAGGAAGGGGGAGTGGGGGGCGTGGACGGGCTGGTGGACGGTATTTCAAATTGTTCGAAGAAAGTCTGCCACCGCCCGCCCGCTTCCCCGCTTCTCCGTTTCCCCCCGTTTGAAAGTTGAATCCAAGTCTGAGTCCACGGGTCCCCGAGCCACCGAACCACCGAACCACCGAGCCACCGGACCATCGCGTCCCCGAGTTGAATGACTCAGAAGCCAAAATCAAAATAAGAAATAAAAACTAAATTTGTTTTCGGTTTCAGTTTTTTTTTTTTTATTTTTATTTTAATTTTGTGTTTTGACGTTTATTTTTCGCTGTTTTCATCGTCTGCCCATAAACTTTTTAGGGGGCGGCAGCAATCAAGGCCTCTTCGGAGCCCGGCTCGCGGCGGCCGTCTCCATGTTTCGGGGAGTAAAAGTTTTCTAGTTTTCTCTGACATCACCGGCACCGACATCGGATTGTGCACCGATAACTGCTGAAATTTACACCTCACTTTTGGTCTTTAATTTGCAATCAAAAGTGCCATCAAATTCTGCCTCTTCGGAGGGCATTCAGGAAGGGCGCAGGCATTTAAGGGGCATTAGGGCCCATCGTAAAGGCGGGTCGTAAGTCCCAAAGGGCCCACGAGTGCAGTGGAAGCAGCAGGACATTAGCCCTGCCCCTGCCCCTGCAGGAGCAGAGGGGGACGGAAGGCAGATGCCGATCGGCTATCCGCCAAGCTATACAACGGTTCCAGTTCCAGTTCCAGTTTCTATTTCTATTCCTAATTTATTCCCTCGAGCAAAAATGCCGTCGAACTTACAGCCCCAGATACAGCCTATAAGTAGGATGGGTTCCAGTTCCAATGTGAAATTAGTCGTAAGATCTGCCTACGTTTACAGCAGAAGAGCAGAGGGTCTGGCAGCTCCAGTCGAAATAAAAAGGCGGGCAATTGTGGGCACTCGTACGATCTTTGATGGCAGGGGGTGTGGTATTATTATTGCTCGTTGTTTTTGGAAGTGTTTTTCGGAGATTGCATTAAAAAACGTGAGTGCGTGAAATGCTCACGGCAAAGTCAACAACAAAGCATTATTGCTACCTGCCTCACCGCCAGCCCTGCCTCCCAGCCCTTTCCTGCCCCTCAGAAAGCGGTTTTCTCAGTGCTTGTTTCTGTTGATATTTTTTTTGGGTAATCATTACAATTGTTGTTGCTATTGTTGTGGTTATTATTACGAGTGTATTATTGCTGGGGCCTTTTTTCGGGGTCAACCCAAAAAAATAGTATGTCAATGCGGGATGAGCGGCGGATCCAGAGATCCCAGAGATGGGAAACGGGAATCATTGGCACATCATAATCTTCCATTTTTGGAGTGCTTT